TCGAGAAGACATGTAATTAAATTTGGCAGGAGGTTTTTAGCATGATGGCACATGTAAATTTATCACCATAATATCAAACATACTCATCTCATCAGTTGATGGATTGTGACACAAACTTGACCAGCTGACTTTCTGCAGGAGACACAATAAAAATAAATGACAACAGACTGAATTTAAACATTATTCGAGAACATAATATGAACTAAAACAGGGTGGTAATCCACCTGTTATGAGCAACCCCAGAAACTGAGGTGAAAGAAATCATCACACTGATATGCTTCTTCTTGATGGGAAACATAGGCCAGTATCTGCGATGATAGTTAGTCTCATACGGCTACAACAACTGCTTCATCCAATGCAACGACGCCGGGAAGCTCCTTGCCTTCCAACAACTCCAAGCTAGCTCCGCCACCGGTTGATATGTGACTCATTACATCAGCTACTCCAACTTTCTCAACTGCAGCAACAGAGTCTCCACCTCCGATGATTGTTGTCACACCCTTCCCACTAAGTTCCGCCAACTTCTTTGCGATTGCCTGTCAAATCAAGGCAATCAGCCAAGCTTTTCTAATGGCATACAAGTGTAAATCATAAAGTCAACTGTATTCAACATAATTTACATTCCAAAGTCGACATCGACCAATCACTATAGGTAAGAAGACATTATAGTTTACCTCAGTTCCAGTGGCAAACTTATCAAACTCGAAAACTCCCATGGGACCATTCCAAATAATGGTCTTGGTTGTATCTAGTGCATCGTTGAATGTCTTAACTGAATCTGGTCCGACATCCAACCCCATCCAACCATCAGGAATTTCAGATGCCGGCACAACCTGCAAAAATGATCTTTTTTAGTTATTCTTGTTTTTTTTTCATTAATAAAATATAGTTGATGTGCTTGCCTTATTATCCACAATCCATTATAAATGGGAACCATCAGTTTAGACTATTTTGAAAGGGCCACTAGATGTACAATAAATAGTGATGTCATTAAAGTCAGAATTTTGGATCTATAAATAGAGGCATTAAATTAGCAAACCTTGCTCTGTGCATCAGGTGCAAATTTATCGGCAATAACAACATCAGTTGGCAACAAAAGAGACACGCCCTTAGCTTTGGCTTTTGCGAGAAGTGATGTCGCAAGCTCAAGTTTGTCATCCTCTACCAATGAAGAACCCACGGGGAAACCTTGTGCTTTGTAAAATGTGAATATCATTCCTCCGCCCAAAAGAAGGATATCACACTTCTCCAACAGTGACTCAATCACCCCAATCTTAGATGACACCTTTGAGCCACCAACAATTGCCGCAAATGGTCTCTTGGGGTTTGAAACAGCACCAACAAGGTAATCAAGTTCCTAGAGTTGCATGGAGGGAAGGTTAGGAAAACTATATATATAACAAGAACCAAAAAGATAAAAGTGTTTCCATTCTACAAATCTAGAGCAATAGGTACTACACAATAAAAAGTACAAATTTCAACATCAGCTCCGTACTTTACAAAAGTACTAAGATTGGAAAGCAAAACGCACATGCTAATAACTTGATACCCAATGATCAAGTAGATTAACTGATTCATCCATACGAAGTTAAGAACGAATTTTAGATCGTTACATACAACCTTAATGTTTGATTCTGACCTTTTGCAAAAGAAAACCAGCGACAGAAGGCTTCAAGAATTTGGTCACGCCCTCTGTTGAAGCATGTGCTCTGTGTGCTGTTCCGAAGGCATCATTGACGTAAAGGTCAGCTAGTGCTGCAAGCTTCTTTGCAAATTCAGGTTCATTCTTCTCTTCCTCTTTATAGAATCTCACATTTTCGAGAAGTAGAACACCACCTTCTGGCAGTGCATTGACCAATTTTTCAACTTCTGGCCCGATGCAATCATCGGCTTTCTCAACCTGTTTGTCATAAAGGAACTCGTGGTGAGGAACACAAAGGTCGATTAATAAAATTGTGCACTTCAAATAAACATACAAATCAGGAACATGAAAATACCTTGATTCCAAGGAGTTCAGACAGCCTAGGAACTAAAGGGCTCAAGCTGAATTTTGGCGTGACACCCTTCGGGCGTCCCTGGTTATTCAGATCATTCAGGTGTGAGTTCAGAGTTAATAGCTCTATGCAGCTTATTAAAGAACAATACAAAATAAAGCATCATCCATTAAAGCAGAACACGCATCATTGTGTAAGTATTATACTCACAAAAAGATAGTTACAACTACAATTGTAATCACGTACTAAATCCTTGTGATCAACTTGATGTTGACACATTTCGTATCCATCACTGTCAAAGTGAAATGCTTATCACTTGAGATTATTGAGGAAAACACTGAAATGATATACGATCATGGAGCAGCACAGACAATTTTGATTGCTTTACAAAGAAATTTATCAGAGCAGACAAAAGCTTAAGTGCCAGAAAAGCATAACATTACTGACATCATTTAAAACTCTATGAGAACACATGATCTACAAAATGAAGAGCCGAATATCTACTTGATCGGGTATTTCCTTCAGAAAGCCCGCAGCACAACCAGAAGAATAAGCAAGTGTGCATGCAAACATTGAAATGCCTTCTCACATAAACAAAACAAGAATAAATGAGTATACTATAATCTACAGTAAGCGCCCGATTACAATCTTCGGAAACATCGATAAGCAAATGAGTTGAGGAAAGAGAGGCAGCATCTCACCAGATGGCTGGAGAGGATGACTTTGGCCCCGTTGCTGATCAAGTGCTTGATGGTAGGAACGGCCGCCCGGATCCTGGTGTCGTCCGTGATGTTGCGGTCCTCGTCGAGGGGCACGTTCAGATCAGCCCGGACGAAGACCTTCTTCCCCTTGAGGTCCGCAGCCGTGAGGTCCCCCACGCTCTTCTTGGCCATGACCGCCACCCCGCGGGGCCCTTTCCCGCTCCTCCCGGCCACCGTCCGGATCTTGGCCGCCACGTGGGCCGCCAGCAGCGAGTCAGCCGCGACCCCAGCGAACCCCAACCGCCGGGACGGCGACCGGAGAGTCAGCCGGGACGGCGCCACCACCGCCGCCACTCGCCGGCGGGAAGAGGAGGTTGGGAGGAGGGAGAAGGAGGTGGCGGCGGTGGAAGCCATGAATCTGTACACCTTCGCGAGAGCAAGAGAGGGCGTCCAAGGAGTGATGGACTGAAAAAGAAGGGAGAGAGGGGGTTTGTGTTGTGGACAGCAACGGGGTGTTTGTGGATTTTTCTTATCGCTGAGGAGCGGTGGAGAGCGAGGATTCGGTGATTTGGGTGGTGAGCGACGAGAGGTGGAGATTACGAAGCGGCGGAGGACATGGTTTAACGGGAATGATATGTAATTTGTATGTTTATCGTACGAGGCATAAAACAAATTAACGATTAAAATACTGTTTGTTATATGCCATTTGGAAAAACATGTTTTTCATTCTTTTTCTTATATTATACGTTATATTCTTAAGTAAATTCGAATTTAAAATTCATCGGTAATCATTAAAATATATTTAGATCTTCGTCTAACTATCAAGTCTCTTAAAATAGTGGATCTCTACCCAATAATATTTCATCGACTCTTATTTAATCTCATTTATGGGATCTAATAATTCAAACGTTTATTGGATATATAATAAGATACGAGCGTTAGTGAATATCTTCATGAGCTTATGCTCGTGGGGGGCAACGCCACCTGCAGAGCGCTCAACGATAAGGGTCGTCATCGGCAAGGTGGTTCCTCGTATATCTATCGGGTGAAGGGGAACTTGACCAAGGGTAAGCTAACCATATTCCATACCTTCACTATGTGAAACTCTCAACATATATCTTTTAAGTGTTTATCAATTTGTCTGAGCTACACTTGTAGGGTGTATTATGAGTCCACGGATTGAGCCTCATACTTAAGAGCAATCAATTACGGGCAATGCAATCTGTTGAACTCGATGGCTAGGAGCCGTGGGACCCCCTTGGTCAGGATAATCAGTGGGTCGAGAGGGTTTGGCAACAACCTAGGTCTTGGCCACTCGAGATGGCTTAGCGGGTGTCTGAGGCACCGTTGACTACTGTGGGAGAGCTGCAAGCATTAACTGAGCTAGATATAGAAGTAGGGGAATGATTAATTGTGTCATCCCATTCGGTGTATGGACCTATTGGGCGAAGTACAAAAAGACCTCCATTGGAACCAACATGTGAGTCAATGTTACCATCGATGGGGAGAGTCTAGGGCCATTAAAAAATCACTTATATTGCATAGGAGTGGGGTTGAGGTAGAAGTGTCGAGCATTGGAAACGTCGATTGTTGGCCACCCTTGGTGAAAGTGTTGGGGGTCAATGGCGGAGTACCCTCACTTGAATGCTCATTGAGCGGGGCCGACGATATGACTTTCCTACAACATGGAGCTCATCTTATAGTACCAAAATGATGGTGTGATTGTCAATTACATCTTTGCTAACCCGAATCGATCTTGGGTTGCATGTACAAGAGTCCAAAGATAACTGAGGAGGTGGTTCGGGTGTCCGCCGAGAAGCCATCCTATAAGAAGGTCGAAATTTGGTGAGGTACCTG